GCTCGAATTCACCTCACTTGCTGGAATATGTTAATGTTTACTGTTAATGTGGTCAGATGTGTGCCTGGTTAAGAATGCGTGGTGTACAGTTGTGGTCAGAAGTTTACATACTCTCATCGTGGGGAGAAATGTCACGGTAATTTTGGACTTTTAATGGTTTCTTTCGGCTGTTCTTTCCCCAGAGTGGAATGATTTTGCAGCATGCATTTTTAAAGACTTGGGTAGGCAAAGATTTGGGTTCACAATTATTTACATACATCGCTTTTATCTTTTAATTAAGGTTCTTCAATGTCTTTTAACTTGACAAGGCCAAGAACTGTTAACTTCTCATTAGTGATCATGATTAACTACAACTGGTAGTTTCTCTTTGCTAACAAAAAAAGGATATGTTTGACAACTCTCAGTGGACTGACCGATACTCAGAATAATGAGAAAATCCAAGGAACTCAGTGAAGATCCAACAAGGAGAACTGTAGATTTACAAAAGCTGGGGAGGTCTCTTGGAGCCATTTCTAAACAACTGCAGATTCCAGGACTGTTGATTCAAACAATTGTACATATGTACAAATTATTCAGATGTCTCACCATTTTGACAAGTTTTGGAAGAAGACCCAAACTTTCACCCTCATATAGAAGTAAACTGGTTAGGATGTTCAGGAACCATGAAGGGCCAAGCCTGCCATGAGCTGGAACCTGCTGACACACCAGTGTCACTGTCAAGTGAAGTGAGCCTTACTGAGACAGTGCCAACCAAGAAAGAAGGCCCTACTCGAAAATTGACACCTTCAAGCTTGAGTGAAATTAGCATTTTCCCACATGGACTACCCAAATGCATTCTAGAGAAAAGTTTTATGGCCAGGCAAGGAAAAGATTGAGCTATTAGGTAACAATGACAAGAGTGCAGGTGTGTTTGGAGAAGTAAAAGTGAGATTATCTAACCTAAGAACACTGTATCAGCTGTCAAGCATGGTGGTGGTAGCATCATACCTTGCGGCTGTTTTGCTGCCGGTGGTACTGATACACTGCACAAAGTGGATGGAATAATGAAGGAGTATCAATCACTAAATGGTTGAAACTGAGACATAGGTGGGTGTTCCAACAGGGCAATGATCCAAAAAGATCCAAAGACCTTTTCTAGCCCCAACCTTAGTGCTATTGAAAATCTGTGGACTTCACTTAAAATTCTTATAAGTCACTCTAATGAACTCTAACAAATACCTGTGCGGCTTGTTTATGGCTACCAAAAGACACTCTGTGAATTGGAGAAAATCCAAAACAAAATCAAATTTGTTCACCCAGTTCTTTTTAAAAGATTTATTAAATGCTGTATAATCATTCCACCCCAGAAAATCAGCATGACATTCATGCTTATGTTGATTGGATGAAACTTCTGACAACAACTGTAAATCGGTCACTTTAGATTGATAAATATTAAGTCACTGTTAATGTTTTCCTCTTAAAAGATCAAGCGTTACATCCTACTCTAAGAACATAAGGATTTCGAGCAGTAGTGCATGGTTGTTTACTCTTACAGGTAACTGTGACAATCAAATTGAAATAATATTTAGTGTGAATTATACATGTGCATTTTATTAGTGTATTCAAGGGGTTCAAATAAAAAAAGTAGTCTAGTTTATTTGATTTGGGTTTACATAATATATATCTCTGAAAGAGTTTGTGACTACTGTAAAACTCTGTTCTCATGAAACTCTGAGTAAAGTTGTGGGTAATTAGCAGCTGTGTTTATATTAATAAACATGATCAGACCTCAACATTATGTCCACCAGACATTGCTGCTTTTCCAGACAGTGTGAATGTGCTGGACAATGTGAGCGGTGATGTGAGGACTCCAGATAAATTAATAGATGGAGTCAACTGCACCCACGATGGAAGACACATGTGGTTAGCCCCAGTGCTTCCTGGCCTGGTGAGAAAGACAGTGTGTGTGTGAGTGTGTAAGAGAGAGAGAGAGAGAGACTGTTTGCAGCTGACACGAGTGTATGCTCTGTTTCCATGCAGGTGAACCATGTGTATGTCATCTTTGATCATCCAGTGACTGTGTCCATGATCAAGCTGTGGAACTACTCAAAGACGCCTCAGAGAGGAGTGAAAGAATTTGGGGTAAGCCTACTTATCTCTCTGCTGCGGGTTTAGCAATCGCTTCTGTTTGTTTGCTAATGGTGCATGTTTCTCCGTGAGTCCAGCTGCTGGTGGATGACCTCCTGGTATATAATGGCATCTTGGACTGCGTAAGCCAAGTGACACGAGGCATCCTGCCTACTTGCGACCCTGTGGTGCCCTACCACACCATCCTGTTCACAGATGACGTCTACATTACTCACAGAGAGAGGAACACTGTCATCAGGTACTCAGGCTTTTTGTATTCATTTATCTTATTTATTTTTTTTGAAAGATTAATTCATGAACGGCTGCTTGCTTACAGGCTAAATGCTGATTGTTATTTAGGTTTGCCTTATTTAGAAAAGGGGTATCAGACATGCACTCGGCTGCCAGCCGACTGGACGCCTTGCAGAGTGAAATTTGCAGAGGAGGTTGTGTTGCAGGATGTTAAGAATAGGCAACATAAAAGTGTTTTTCCAGAATCTTACAAATTACCTTTGTCATCCCATACTACACTGAAGTGTGACTGTTAATCCAAGGAGCCATGCTCCTACTGAGATTTATAATTCCACAGTCTTCTTAAAGACATCTTACACTGCTCATCATCTTTTTTGTAACTGGATAAAATGTATGAGAGGACGTTTTAAGTGTATTTTGAATGCTGCTCTGCTTTCGGTGTACGACCCTCTAGAAGTCAGATTGAGCTGCAAGTGGCCCATGAACTGAAATGACACCCGTGATCTGTCATGTAAATGCTTTTTGACAGGCCTGTTGCGTTTCTGACAATCAAACAGATTTACTGACAAATTGGGTTAGATTAACGCAGTAGTTTTGAAAAGACTTGTACTCTTCTCCACTTCAGCCCCCGTGTCAGCAGACACCGTCAACAGTGAGTAACAGGATAGTAAAAACCCAGTGCTGCTGCCTCCTTGTGGTCACTCCCTGTACTGAAGATTCCTCCAGTGCCCTCAAACATCCCACATCCTCCTTACCACTCGCTTGACCTGTGATCCCCAGAGTCCCTCCTCTCCCTGACTTCGAGCTTTGTCAACCCTCCCTTTTGTGTTTTATTGCCCTTTTCCGGTTCTCGCTGGCACTACAGTTTTAAAGAAAAACATCCGCTATGTCTTCCTTTTCTTGTGTTGCCTTGTAGTAATTATGTGGAGGATCAGGATGTGAAGATGACCAATGAGAACCAGATAGTTCATCACAATAAGAAGAAGCAGACGGCAGACCCAGGTGAATCAGAGAAGCGATTGGAGCACTTTAACATGGATGGATTCGTCTGTTTTAAAATGTCTTTGTTAACTCTTCTGTTCTGTTCTCACTCAATTCAGCTCTACGGCCTAAAACCTGCATGACTGATGGCGGGAAACATGGAAGGAGGAGGTACTGACTGATATGGAGTCAGTGTTTTTACAGTTTGAGGAGAGCTGAAGGGAAGAACCTGTGGCTGACTCTTTTATTCCACTTTTTTTGGTGGGTGACTTTTGAAAACCTCCTTTACACCAAAGCAGCCACCCAGCTGTCATTTGTAAAGGCGTCACCCCAGCATCTCACACGGTCCACAATTAAAAGGACAGATTATACACACACACACAGGATTCCACTTTATGGTTGGATTTCTCTCCTTTTCTTTGCTGTGAAAACGAGTCCACAGATATCCTGAACATGTACTGTATAGTCGTCCCTCCCTCAGTGCCAGGAAAAAACTGTCGAGGCTGCATTTTATCAGCCATATTATTGTGCCTAGTACCAACACTATTATCTGTGGCTGCTACTTGTGACTTGTGACTTGTGCTGCATATCCCAATGCTGCTTCTGGCGTATACATAATCCAGGAAAAAAAAAAAAAAAGCTCAAAGGCCACACGAATACACTGTCACATCAGGACGTTAATTAATTAACATGATTCACCAACGAGCCTAGGCATTTAGCTCTCGGCCTAATGGGTATGAAAACACTCCCACCAGTGCACAAACCAAGCCTAATGCTATGCAGCCACTAATTTATATCTATTAATATTTATATCTCGTGGATAATATATTTCAAAAGTGAGTGGTTTTACTTGTGGAAGTACTTTC